CTCCGAACAGCTGAAGCGCTGTGAATCCCCCTTCCTTCTCAGCAGACCCCCTTCTCTGATTCTGCATGTTGAAGTAGGCCAAGGGTCGGTCAGGGGACCGCTTTTTTTCTCATCCTTTAGTGACCTCGACAAATCTCATTGCTCACCATACTGTCTGTCTGCTAACAACTACCAGATACATGTCTCCCCGTGGATCCCCACGCCCCCATCCTCTGGGTTTGTACATAGATTTTTACCTGTAACTCCCTGCTCAACAGGTCCACTGGGAACCTGACAGGCACCTCAACGTCTGTGTCCAAATCTGATGTCTCCCGAACCTGTTCTTTGCAAGGTCTTCCCCATCTCCATGAACGCGACTCTTCGCCTCCCCGCTGCCCAGCCCCAAACCCCCTTAGCGTCTCAGACCCGTCCCTGCTCCGTCCCGATCCACAATCTGCCAAACCGCACACAGCTCCTCCTTCCAAGTACACTCAGAACCCGAGCTCTGCCCCGGACGCCTCCTGGCCCCGCGCCGCCGGCCCCAGCGCTGGCGTTCTCGCGTCCACGCGCACACCACGCACACGTCGCCCTTGTCCTCCCCACGCTCCGTGGCCGTTTTATTTTAACTGTGTACTCCTCTGGCCACATGTTCTGTCTCCCTGAGACCATATCCTGCGGCTGGAAGACCCCGTGTGATCTGAGCCCTGGGTACCTGTCCGACCTCACTTCCCACAGCTCTTCCTTCTGTTCGTCCTGCTCCAGCAGCACCGGGCCCCTGGAGTGTCCTGAACCGGGCAGGCCTTTCCGGCCGGGCACGCTTTGTCCCGGTGGTTCAAACCTCACCTCTTCCGGGTTTGACTTAATCCCAGGATGGGAAGACCTTCCCTGACCCTCGTTTTAAACGGCACTGCTCCCCAGCACTCTCCTCCCCGCGTGTATCCCCGAATGGCAGTATCTCGTCAGCTAAATTATCGTGTTGTCTCCATCCGCGAGAATGCAGACCGCCTGTCCCCCAGTGCTTGGCACTGTGTCTCTCCCGTGGTGGGCACTGGCATGGGCTCAAAGGTTTCTGTTGAGCACCCCTCCCCGAAATATCATCTTATCATGACATGAAATTGCGTATCTCTGATTTTCTTCTTTTAAGCTATAGTTGTTTATCGAGCTGTTGCCTGCCCGTCTTGCTGGCCAGAAAGGTTGAGTCACCAACAGCTTGAAATGCTGGCTGCCCCTCAAGCTACAGAGTTGACCTCCCACCTACATCCCTCAGAAGTTCATGGCCTCTGGCTACTCCAGGACACCTGCCTCTTCAGCGCAGGCTTCCCCTGGGTCCCCCTGCCCCCCAGACAGCAGCCACCCTCACAGCACATCCCCCACCTCCCCACCCCCTGCTCTCCTCAGGCCAGGATGCTGCTGGAAACGTCCCTACTTCCGTCACATCCACCAACATGAAAGTGTCTTCTTTGCTCTTCCAGGAGCAACTCCTGAGTCACTTTACAGGATCCATCTCGGACATTAAAACAACAGCAGCTGCCCTGACCAGTGCGGCTCCAGTGGGTGGGCCGTCGTCCCACAGAGCAAAAGGTCGCTGGTTCGATTCCTGGTCGAGGCACATGCCCGGGTTGCAGGTCTGGTTCCCAGTTAGGGCATGTACGAGAGAAAACTGATCGATGTTTCTCTCTCACATTGATGTTTCTCTGCCTCTCTTTCTCCCTCCTTCCCCTCTCTCCAAAAATTAAAAAATAAAAAAGCAGCTAATGACTTCTGAGTGCTTACTCTCATCCAAATAATTTTCTTGCATTGTATTATTTCATCTTTAAATAAGCCCACTAGACAGGCTCCAATAATTCCCCCAAATTTTACGTGGTAAAACAAGACTAAAAGAAGCTAAGAAACGTGTCCCAGGTCACAGCGTTAATAAGCACACGAGCTGGGATTTGATCCTACATCGATCTCGTTCCAAAGCCTAAGTGACCGAACTGTAAATGAACAGCGAAGCTGCCTCGCATGAGTATTCTGGAAGTTTCTGCTGAGTTTAGGTTATTTTGAAGCCATTAATTTTATTATTGTGAGATAACAGCTACAAACCGCAAACCCTGAGCAGCAGTTACTCTGCAGCTGTCCAGGCAACAAATGAAGAAATTCACTTGCAAACATTATTTTGGTCTGCAGAAAAATACATAATTTTTTGTGAGCATGTCTGAGTGATGGGAAAAACTAACCATAATGCCACCCCTGCCGGTGTGCAGCCTGTCCAAAGTCACAGGCCCGCTAGAGACTGTCGCCTTGCACGTGCATGCCAGGAAGCCCCACAGAGATCACCCGACGCGTGCAGTGTGACCTCCGGAAGGTCCCATCACTGCCGTATCTCTGCCCGGTCATTAGAACCCCCCGGTCCTTGCCCTTCCTTTCAACGACCTTTTCCATTATGAGCTGCTTTGCTGGGTTTGTGGGTGGCCTCGCACCCAGGGGTGACTGGGGCGGCGCCTCTGAAGGCCACCCCAGCAGCGCTCCACAGAAATGGCCCCGGGGTTGTCTCCAAAGCGGCCTCGCTTGCGTTGCCATGGTAAACAACCAGGCTGGATTGCTATATCCAGTTCTCCGCCAGGGTCGCCATGGTGACCGCAGAGGAGGGCTCCTTAGAAGGACCTCACAAGGGTGCGTTTCCATGGTGACCCTCGCCTGCAGCTTTCTAAGCCACTTCCCTTCGGTCGTTCTGTGACCAATCGCGGCGGGTTCCTGATGAAGGTTTCTCCCAAAGATACCATCATAACACGTAGGGATTTTGAAGTGAGCTCTGTAAACACATAAACTGTTAGAAAGTGTAAGAGGTGCCATTCGCCAAGCATTCGATTAGTCCCTATACATTTCAGGAAGGACCCGTTTTGATGGGTAACAGAAATACGTGTGATGTCTGTTTCAAACGTTCATTAATTAAAAAGTATCTTATAGAATATAATGCACACAACTGAAGTTTCAAATTTCTCCACTCCTACCACATAGCAGAGACCTTGGTAAAAAAATTCTTTACAGTGGACCTGGCATACACAAGAACGGAATCAGAAATACAGATGGATCATTAGGTTATAATGAGATATCAAGGAAGCTTTTACAGAGCAAAAGACAAAATATTTGCAAGTCAAATGGAAAAAAAAAATGTGCTTTTTTAGTTGAGCTGGGAAAGCCGGGCCATATTTGGGCCCGAGCTATTTCTTCTAGTGTTTTTGCAGTTGGAATAATCCCAACTACTCTTCTTTTCCACTTAAAATGTGAATCTAAGCTGTTGTGAACAGATGCTTGGTTTTTTTAAGTCATTTTACTAGTCTCCTGAAACTTAAAAAATATTTAACTTTTTCTAGTATTTGGTCAAGGGCAAAATTTCAACTAATCACTCATTGCAATATCTTTAAAAATTATTTCACAAATAAAAATATCTACAGTTCCAAAGAAACAATTACAATTTCTGTACAAGTGTCCCCCATTTTTGTTCCTTCTAATGGACTCTTCTAATAAAATTAAAAAGTTACACACACGCGCACACACGCACACACGCACGCACACCCCCTTGAATGCTTCCCCACGCTCCACTCACACCCTGCTCCGGGGCACGAACTGGAGTTTGAAAAATGCACATTGTCCAGAAAGAGGAAGATAGTTCACTATCACGTTTCAGGGGAGTCTCAGTGTTCTGCACAGAGTCTGAGTTTGTAGAGACTTTTGCTTCAAGCCTTTAACGTTTTTATGGACCATAAAAACGATTTTCGGTCGCTGCGGTTTTCATTCATTCCCTCCCGACCTGTTTACAGAGGGGCTGCCTGGGTCCGGGCCCTGTTCTGGGGGCTGTGAGCTTCAGGACGCAAGTAAGAGTCTCCTGCCCATAAGGCGCCTCGATTACAGACAAGGAGGGAACGGCAGGCGGGCAACATAAAGCAAACCAGTGAGGGCGTCGCGTCCTGGGTTAGAACATGACTGAAGCAAGAGAGACGATGAAGCAGCTGGGATGGGGGAGCTATGATACTGCGGATTAGCAGGGGTTTCTAGGATGCCCCTACTCACCTGCCAAAAGTGTACTCGATACTCATCTACATCCTTGAATTTAGAAAAAAAAAATTAAGAAAGTCTCTCACATAGAGAACTCAACAGAAGTGGAACCGAAGGACTCCTCTTTCCCCTGTAAACCTGTTCTCTGAGGGGCAGCGAGGTCTGAGGTGGGCAAGCGAGGTGACCGCTTCCAGCCCCACCTCCGTTCGGAACCGAACAAACGTGGCCACGTCGCTCCCCCTCCAAGGCTCTGGCTCAATGTTAAAATGAGAATATGCATTTCAATCTGATAGCATTACTCTGAGATTAAAAAAAGGATACTAAAATGTTGTGGGTGATAATATCATGCCTGGAATTATAATATCTGGAACAAAAGAGTGTCCTTTGAAAATACTTCAAGGAAAAAAAAGTGAGAAAGTGAGAACAAAGATAGATGAAACAATCTGAGTGAATATTGGGAAATAATGAAGCCCGGGGGTAGGTATATGAGTTCATTATGTTATTGGACCTCTTTTTTATTTTTTTGACAATTTCCATAAAAAGGTATTTTAAGCGATTCAACTTGAAAACAAAGATCCTTCACCTTTGTAAACGTTTTTACAATATCTAGAAAAAAGTCCGTAAGAACACCAACACATTTCATATAAATATAAAACTAGGTAAGTGGATTTACATACTGAGTACTTACTAGCCGTCTAGAACAATGCTAGGTACGTTTTATACCTTCTTCTAACACTCCAATTTAAAAACATGAACGGCATAGTGTGCTCATTGGAAAAGACACTACAAGACAGAAAGGCTGATAAGCACCGTGTTCCAGCTTGCGGGCTCACCGGGGGCTGCATGGGTAAGAGATTTTGGAGAGAAATGTTAGTATCGTTGGCTGAATGCTTCAAAGCAAGCCTGTCAATGGGGCTCTACGTTCCTACTAAAAGTTTCAGTCACCAATTCTATACATTATATCAAGAAACTCCAACACTTACCAGATCAGTGTCTCCCCTTTTATAAGTCAAAGCTTCCACTTTGGAGTCCAGCTCTGCTTGTATTTGGTCCCTTCTTTTCATCACACCCTTTGGATTAAAACACAAGGATTTCATCATTTTTGCCTAACCAAAAAAAAAATATCCATTTCAGGATATAAACCGCCGTCAGGACTTGAAAAAATTTACTTTACTCTCTAAAGGCTAAACTGAAAGCAAGTATTGAGGAAATTTTTTCATAACTCCTTCCGTTTGCCCAATGCACGTCTTTCTGGTATAAGTCTTTTATACACTGTCCTTCAGGAAGAACAAAGGCCCAACCAAGCAGCCGGCCAGCAGGAGCACCGTGAGCAGCGCTGTGGTGTAAACCCGCGACCGCTGGGCACGCCGGAGCCTCTTGGGCCTGACTCCCGCCCACGGCCCATCGGCCCACGACAGCAGGGAACCAGACCACGGGACTGCGCATTCGCACCTGAAGATTTTATTTTAGCTTAAACTATACGTGTGTGAATCAATCGGCCAAGCTTTGGGCGCGCAATCATGGCCTTTTCTCCGACTGACAGGAGCCCCGTGCTGTTCTCTCGGGTGACCGCGGTCCCTAGGGACGGAGCCGTGCCACGGCACATGCCTCTGCGCAGCGTCCGCGTGCAGAATCCGTCCGTAACTCTGGCCCCACCTGCTAGTCTTTCACAGCGACTTTCCCTTGGTGAGCACCTTCCTTCCCAGATATCCCGCCTGGGCTTCGTGGACACGAGGACTCCTGTGGTCTGAACTCATCTTTCACTGGGCGTCCAGCGTTCATCAGGTCATGAAATTGTCCTCGTGGACACAAATGGCCGCAACAGGTTAAGGGACAAAAATGACTCCACCAGGGAGAGTTAAAGGAAAGACATACCAGGCAAGGGACTTCACGAGACACAGGTCTCTGGGGTGTTTTCAGAAGCACGAAGAACCTAGACAATAGTAGGTCAGGAGCGACCGGAGGAGGCAGCTCTGCGGCGCCTGAGTGAGAACTGAGCGGCAGCGGGGGAAGCGCGCCGTGAAGACCACGCAGCCGAGGGCTGCGCCCGCGGAGGCGCCCTCGAAACATTCAAAAGCGACGAAGATGTCTCCCATTTTCAAGCGATCATTACAGAATTCTACTAATGATCACAAATTCTTTCATACTGACTTCTCTGTTTAATTGCCATGAATATCAGGGACCCCTTCCCTTCCCAATGACACATGACAATTTAGTCCCGTTTATTTCAGGGCTGTTTCCACAGCGAGAACATACTCTGCTTCATGGGGGTAGGAATTTTAGGTAAGAGGTTGGCGGCTTCAGAATAAAACTAGTCAAAAGTACCCAAATGTAATCATCTTGTTTAGGCATATACTTTTCATTACTTGAGCTCACACTGCAGAAACCTTCCAGTAGAAAACAGAAGCAGATGGCAACATAAATGCTACTGATTATGCCCAGGAGTCTAACAAATAATACAATCAAATGAGGGCCTAAAAAAATAATTCTTTCTAGTTGCTATTATAATCTTTCCACACCTTTAATGATACATGATTTAAATTGCTTAATTTCCATCTTGACATAATAAAGAGCAAAGCACTCTAATACGGAGAAAGAACACAGAACATGCTACTTCAAATGAGGCAAAGCATCTCTTGGAACAGTCACACAAAGCCGGGATCAATGAGGAAGTAAAGCAATGGAACATCGCCAAGGAAACCGAGAGCGACGAGAAGGACATGTTCAAGGTCTTTGGGAAGGGAGACGGGTTTGCCCACAGCAGGACCCAAGAAAGGCAAGTAACAGCAGAAACCTGAAATTGCCACCAAATATTTAATGACTCTGTGAAAGGAAAACCTTTATCAGATGATAACCGTGGAAGAGGCAGATCTGGTGAAAGGCTAAGGCAGCTTTTCTTACCAGGACAGGAGCAAAATTTAAAAAAATACCTCCCCCCAACCCCCAAAAGCAAGAGTATATGGAAACACCTGGCTGGTGTGGCTCAGTGAACTGAATGCCGGCTTGCAAAGCAAGGGGTCACTGGTTCGATTCCCGGTCAGGGCACAGGCCTCGGTTGCAGCCGGGTGTCCGGTAGGGGACGCGCCAGAAGCAACCACACATGGATGTTTCCCTCTCCTTTGTCCCTCCCTTCCCCTCTCTCTAAAAATAAATACATTTAAATTTTTTTTTTTTTAATAAAAGAGTACATGGAAACGGGCTCTGACAAGCAGCGGAAGAAGTGGGCCCCCTCTGCATGTCAGCCGCCTGGACCCGCACCGCAGCCCCGGGACAGGCACCAGGCCTGCGCGCAGCAGGCACCGCGAGCCGAGCACCGGGCGGCTGAAACCCGTCCGCTCTGCAGGCTGCCTCGCTGAATCCCCCCACCTGGAGACCTTCACGTGACCTGAGGAGGTTAAACGCAAAACGGGGCTCTAAGAGGGAGAAAAGCCTTTCCAAATAGTGGGAGAAAAACGTTTTCATGGGACGGATTTCTTTTTAGAAGCATCCAGAAGGCAGAACAAACATCGAGATCCTGCTCAAGTGCTTTCTGCATAATGCCACTCCGGGGCTACACGCTGGGTGGAAGGCGCCACCCGGCAGCGGGGAAGCAACTCTCCTGGAGAGAACTTCCGAACGTGCCGCCAATTTTTAAAAATTGTAAAAGGCTGGAAAAACGACTCCTATTCCCTATCTAATCCTCGGTGGAGGATGCTTCAAGTCTATGCATAACCTCACAAACTGCTGTTGTCGCTGCTGATGTCCCCCCCCAACCCCCCTCCCTGCCGCGCATCCGTTCGTTCGTCCGGGCAGCGGACAGACTCACTGTCCGCACGCGAAGGGCCCCGCAGGGCCGGGAAGAGAGCGGCGCAAGAGCGCGGCGGGCGCTGCCTTCGCGCGGGGTAGAACGCGGTCGCGGGGACGGGAGGGGGGGTCGGGGCGGGGTGCAAGCGCGGCCGGGTGCTCTTACCATCAGCGTCTCACTATACAGCACGTACTCGTGGACGACCGGGAGCAGGGTCTCCGAGAGTCCCGACAGGCGCCTCTCCGTGGCCGAGCAGCACCTGGCGAGGCAGCTGCCGACGCCGCCCAGCGTGTCGGCCAGACCGTCTTCTGACTCCGCCCACAGAGTATGAATTGGGGCGTATTCCTTCATTTCATCCAAGTACTCTAAATAAATAAGTAAGTAAATGAATAAGTTCTTCCGTTTATAGACATTTTAACACCCCTGCGGGTCGGCGGTAAGATCGGGGCTTGTTTTCGCATCCAGTTTGCACACGTTCCTCCACACGGACACGGGAAATGGGGCACCGTCCTTCATCAACTTGGCGGGCCACGCTGGTCGGCTCGGGTGAGCCTGCCGACGGCCGCTGTCCAGGGACAGGCCATAACGGCGCCCCTTTTCATTCCCCAAAGCGCCCTGACTTGGCGGACACACTGGACGATGGCCGTTTCTGCGTGGGCTTCCGCCCGACACACACACACTGCCCCTGCGTGTCTCACAGCAACACGACCTGAAAGCAAAACTCGTCTTCTGCCCCCTCCTCCCGATTGCATGTCCTGCGCTAACAGGGCCGCTCCCAGCGAGCCAAGCAAGAAGTCTTCGTCTGCACAGTCACCAGGTTCCATGTGTCCTCGTCCTGTCTGTCCATCCCTCCGCCTGTCCATCCCTCCGCCCGCCCGTCTACCACCCACCCAGCAGCCGGTCTATCCTCACCTCCTTTCTCTGCAGCGTCTCTAACCCACACTACCTCAAAGGACTTGGACCTCGCCTCCCCCTTTGCCTTTTTGCCACAGTATATAAACACTGACGTTTTATAGGAATTAGAAAGTTCTTTATGATCCGTCCTCGCCGCGCCTCCCCAGAAGCAACTCCCGAGATTCTCTCCCAAAGAGGGTTTAAGTGCAGCCAAAGTCCTTGCTCCTGTATGAACCCCTCATGGCGTCCGCTCGCTCAGACTCTGCGTGTAACCCTCAGCCGTCCCATCGTCCTACAAGCTGCTTTCAGTCCTTCACACCGCAGTCTAAGCGAATCTCTCCTGCTCCTGTTCGATTCGTAGACCCTTCGTCCTCAATGAGCCTATTGATGTTGCCGTCCTGTAGGAGCCTGTTATAATTTTACGTTCTATGGTCCCATTCTCCAGTGACTGCGGGACTGACATACTCCTAGGCCATATGCTTCTTGAAACATGGGCTGGATCTTCTTCTTTTTTTTTTTTAAAGTCTCAAAGCCTGATACATAATGTGTTCAAAAAATATTTTCACATCAATGAAAGAATAAATGAATAACAAAAGGACTATTCAATGCTTGATAAGCCATTTATTCAAAAATTTGACTTTCATTTTAAAATCTGAATATTTTTACATTTTTGCTTTCACACTATCAACTTTTAGCAACAGTTTTTTTATGGTAGAAAATGTAGAAGTGAGCATTTTTTTGTGGTCTGATAACCATATAAATAAAACTAAATTCTCTATATTTAATCATCTGCTACTCATTAGGGTTAGTTGTAATGTCATATTGCTCTAAATTAAACTATTATACCTTCAAAAATTTGTACAAGAAAGCAAATGGAAAAAATATTAAAGTAAAACAATGGAAATATTAGTGGTCACCTAATGAAGTTAATTAGGTTTAGTGACCTTAGACCCTTTCCAACTCACTCTCCTTACCTAGGCCTATCCTGTATTTTAAAGGAGGACCAGAGTAAAATAATATTCCTAAGAATAGAAAATATCCTCCTTTATTTCTTTTCTCAATTTGTGTATATCTCAGCATGTGTCATTTAATCTGTTCAATATTTATTCTTTTAATTCATTTTTTTTACTGTTGTTCTACTCCAGTGGTCCCAATTTCCCCCCTGTTGCCCTCCTTCGCCCATCCCACCCCCTGCTCCCACAGGCAAGTGCCAAGCTGTTGTCTGTGTCCATGGGTTATTCATACATGTTCTTTGTCTAGTCCCTGCCCCTTCTTTCCTCTATTATCCCCCTTCCTACTCCTCCCTCCCCTCTGGCTGCTGTCAGTCTGCATCTTGTTTCCATGCCTGTGGTTCTATTTTGTTCATTAGCTTATCTTGTTCATGAGGTTCCTCTTATAGGTGAGATCATACAGTATTTGTCTTTCGCTGCCTGGCTTACTTCACTTAGCATAATACTCTCCAGTTCCATCTGTGCTTTTGCAAAAGGTAGGAGTTCCTTCTTTCTTTTTCAGTAATAAAATAAATATAGAGCTTCTGTAAAATTCAAAAGTGGGCTTACAGAGCACTCAAGTCACATGGGCTTGCAGACATTTAGCGAGCTGCGCCATGGTGTGTCTGTTAATATGTTTGTTCCCCGACTAGGAGGCGAGCTCAGCACAAGCACCTTATCCCTGCTCTACTCTCCACACAGACAAGCAGCACAACGTGGTGTCAACACAAACTTGCCAAATAAACTGGGGAACCCAAAACAAACACAATCAAAGAAACAGCTGAATTAAATAAAAAAGAGAGCACTGGTTGCGATCACCAAAGTCTCTGATTTGAACATGAACACAGCGCCCTCTACAACCTCAGCTCCCGGAGCCAAGGAGAACACCCTTCATGCTGAAGGGCACCCTGATGAGTGGGCTGCACTCTCTCGAGAGAAGAAATGCCTCAGGTTCAGGCCCGTGGCCTTCACTCCCTGAACAAGGAGAGCTCAGACTCAGGACGCCTGCCACAAGCCCAGGCGGCCTTCTGCGCATTTCACAAACAGGGGCGTCTCCCTAGGAGCCCTCACCTCGTCCCTTGCACCAGCCAATACAAAGCGTACGGCTATTTCATAAACCTCCTAAGTGTCACGCGTTTCCAGGGGCCTCTCCAAAGTGCTATTCCACTTAACGGGGCACCGAGAATCTACGTAACAGAATTGGAATCACGGAACTGAGTTAAAACAACGAGCTTCTTGAGCTTAACAACAAAATGACACACGGTGAGGACAAGGGCCGACTGAGAATATTCAGTCACGACAATGAACTCATTAGCGTCAACACTCAGGAAGGTAGAGAAACCGCCAGCCGGTTCCCAATGCAGCGAACTTTCCTGCCACCAAAACTGACGGGCACTCATTGAACAGATTTTAACTGAGCACGTTCTACATGTGAGACACTAGATACTAGAAATATAACAAACTTTTCCCTTTTTGTCCTGATTGAACTTACAGTTTAATTGGGGGGGAGGGCGGGGCACAAACAGTAAAACACACAGACACACACACACACACACACACAAACCAAGCTGTCAATAATAGGGACTTTAAATAGTTCATTTCCTAATGTATATTAGGAAATATAGTTTCTGACTTAGCCATCTATTTTAAATACAGGTAAATGCAATTAGAAAATTAGCAGAAGTCATCATGGAATTAAGGAAAAATCATGGCATAAAGTTTAACTTATAAACTAAAAAAAACCAACCAACAGAGGGAAACTAAAAAAAGGAAATGGTGAAAGAAAAATAAGAGACCTTTTTTTCCTATATATAAAGCTCTCTGCCAAACTTGGACAGGTCTAATATGTAGAGTACTTGTCCCTTCCAAAATCACTTCCTGAAACTTTACTCCTCTGATTCTAAGCTATGGTCCATGTTGAACATTTAGACCAACTTAATACAACTACATCCCAAATCTTAAGCTCAGGGCTTACTTCACCGTTATTACTTATAAGCGGGAACACGAAAAGCTGCTGACTGATGAAAGCAAGTACGGACTGGCCGTGACTACCTTCCAAAGCATTTAGGAGTCAGAAATGTGTACAGTTTGTCTGGGCATAAGCCACACTTCAAAAGTGAAATTCCAACTTAAAGCTACACGACCCCTTATGGAAGGAGGATGAAGTTGCCATTGGGTCGTAACAACCAGTAAAACACTGAACAGGCTGGAAAAATCAGCATCTTCTCTTGGACCCGCCAGAGAGGGGACAACACAGGACAAACCGCTGTCCCCAGGAATGGAATGACAGGCAGGCAGGCAAGCCTTCCTGGCGCAGAGGCTCAGGAACGGATGGACACCGGGTCTGGAAGTGGCCTGGGGCAGGGAGGCGGGGACGTGAAGATGCGTCAGAAAGGAAGCCACTGCAAAGTCCCGAACCGGCGACCCACGTACCCCTTTCCTCCTTGTAAATTCTCTGAGATATTTTGTCTATCAAGTTTATTTTCTGGCCGAATGCTTCAATGAAGTCATTCATGTCCATGAACTCCTCGGGGCGGCTTTTCACGCCGCGCACGGACAAAGCCGCCGCTCGGACCGCCTGCCCCATCTTGCTGAGCAGCCCAGGCCCCTGCTTCTTGTGAGAAGACAGTTCCTAAAAACAAACAAATGAAAAAGAAATATTCGTGGTCAAGCAAGCAACAACATTCCAAGATCCAACAGGAAGAGAAACCTCATTAGAAGAATAGTATAAAGATAATGAAAGTGCTTCATATACATCTTCGTTTTTTTCACGTTAGTTTGAAGCAGATGAGTTTTATGAGGATGTAGCTCTTCCGTGGCGTCTCAGTCCCTTCGATAACACTCCTTTTCAAAGCAAACCATGCATCTATGTTTCCCCAGGGCACAGATCTTTAAAAGAACAAGGTTTATGGAGAGAATCATGCTTAGGGAGATCCTGAGGAAGACAGGATGAGAGGAAATGTAATCTGCATTTTATTGAGGGACTTCATGGGAAAAACGATTGGGAGAAGATTGCTCAGGGTCTAAACTGCTCCCTGAAAAAAAAAAAGGTAAACTTCATTAACTCTTTAGTTATAATAATAGCAAACGTGTATTGTGAGTTTAATACGTTCCAGGCTAATTCTCTCATTTTTATATACGTAACTCACAAAAGTATCATGAGGTAGGTTTTGTTATTACCCTCATTTTCCAGAACAAAACAGAGACATGGGACCGTGAAGGGGCTTATTCATGGTCGCAGAGCCACAGGTGTGAACAGGGCTTGGGACTGCGTGGCATCTAACGCCAGAGGCTTCTCTGTGAAGCGCTGACCTGCTGTCTTCGTTAAGTCACCAGGCCAGTTTGTAAATAGACACAAACTATCCCTGACCACAGCTCCTCAACCCACGGAGGCGGGTCAACTGGTATACCGCCTGCACTGGCTGGCTGTCTGCAGAGAAAGATTTTAATAAGACACGCGACCAACTGTCACAGTTTACCCAGGAGGGGCAGTGACAGGCTGGCAACACAGAGAAGATTTCCAAACAGTGTCATTCTGCATGCAAAGGACAGGTGCCTGCCTGAGCAGGCGACACATCTACCCAGGAGAGCTGGACCGTCCCTTGATGGAGTGACCACCATCAGAGACAGAATGGACCACACTGTTAGGGCCACTGCCGACTGTAGACAATGCTCCTCACAGCTTCTCCGGGGCTGGAGTTGGGCAACAGACTCAACTCACACGAGTCACCAAAGGCTTGCAGGAGCAGGACTATCTGTCAAGACGGAGATGAACCACTTTCTAGCTTCTATCACTTTGGCAATGATGGGGAGATTGAGTAAACTCAACATCGGTCAGTAATTGTTTAATGTTGACTATCTGTCCTATCCAGGATCTTTCTTGGTGAATTATGTCTTCACAGGAGAAAATAAAAAAGAAGAGGAACATATACAGTTTCTATAGTAGAAATTAGAGTTCCCTCCTTCCCCCCCAAAAATGAGTAATTGAAGGGAAATTAAGAAATTGCATTATCTACCTTGGTATTTATCATTCCATCCATCCATCCACCCATCCATCCATTTAATAATAACTTTTATCCTAACTTTGAAAGCCCTAAATGAAATATCCATTACTACTCAAAATAGTGTCAATAAAAGAAATAAATATATTTGTATGTGTTCAGTATTGGCCAACATGAATTAAAAAATCAGCTGCCAAGGGAAATATGAGTAAGCAGTGTGTGAGACAGGTACAAGATTTCCGTAGTATTTCTATGTAGATTTGGCAACAGGGTTAAATCTGAAGGTATTCCTCCCATTTTTCAAAAATGCTCCCTAATTCCAAGACCCTGCTGTCTGGCTTATATAGGTAAACAGGGAAGGGTACAACTGTCTATACGTATAGGAACTGCAGGGTTATATAAGTGTAAATCAAAACTCTCTACCCAAGCTTGTGCAGTAAGAAAAACTTTGAAGTCTTCATTAAATGTTAAAGTTGGATGATCAGCAATTCGGTTCAAAAACGTATGCAATGCCTTCCGGCGCGTCTCGATGAAGTCATCGTTAAAGCGTTCCACCATCCCCTTCACTATGAACTTTTCTGGCAATGGCTGAGGAAAAAAAAAATTAAAACTGTACCTGAGTACCAGGTGGCAAAGAAGCGTAAGAAATTCTACAAGTTTCCATTTTAGAAGACTATTTGCACCTGTGATCATTTCTCATAAAAATAATTCTAAAAATTCACAATGCTAAAACCAGAAACAATATTTTAACATTACAATAGTTAAAAAAAAATTCTGTACTTTGATTGAGAAGCACTTAGATTGAAAAGTTTAAAAACAAATGCTTCCAAGATAAGTGAATTACACGGAATTTCAAGGTCTGAAATTGGGTTGTAGGCATTTCATCGATTCACAAGATAAGACAGCAGCTATTCTACGAGAAACAATGTCAACTTACTGGAATAATCAGGGTGGGGTGTGCTTCCTCCAGTTTTCCTTTCAGCCAAAGGAAATCTTGATACCGCCTCCTAACTTCGAATTCACTGGAGTCAAATTCCCCACGAGACGTCTGCCGGAAGCGGGAGAAAATAGCGCCACATGCAACGTGAGACGGAAGACATTTGCCTGCTGTTATTTTAGACATTCTAAAATAAATGGGTCTCTAAGAAACATGAACAAATTCTAATTATTCAGTGTTTGTCAGGCTGGGCTTTTTTATTTTTTTATTTTTTGCAGTCATCAATTCATGTAGCAGATGAAACAAAGCGAACTTTCCAGTATTTCCAGAAAGAAAGCAAACATCACACTCAAATTTAAAATCCAAACTGAAAAATCTGTCTTAGAGTTACCATCTGCCTTCCACAAGATTTAACTACGATCATCTTTGGCATGACTTTCTTGCTAACGAGAAAGTGTGTTCTGAATTTAGGTTTCAAAGATATGTCTTTTCTCAAGATGATCAGAATTCAGAATTTGAGGAAAGTTCTATTATTGCAATTGGAAAAGAACCTGAACATAACTGAGAAAAAATGTTTTCCTGGAATTTGCACAAATGAATTGCTTTGCTAAAATCTGCTTTCAGTATATGAAAATTCTAATGTTTTACAGAGTAATTTGCCCCACTGTTTTAAAAATGTTATTAATGGAGACTTGATGTGAAAGAAAAATGCTCCTGTCATTCGCAAGGAATTTTATTTTGAGTTTTGGCTTAACTCGTAAAAATTAAGCAAATATATTAATATATCTGTTCTCAACAAACCAAAAACCTACGCCAACACACATGACGTGGGCATGGGTATGGTTTCATCAACTTCACTTCTACTGCCTGCATCTTAAGCCAAATACAAAAATAGACCGCCTAATGCATAGCCCCCCTCAGAAGAAGACAGCCACCCCCGCCAACATCTTATTTAACTGCATCTTTATTTAACTGAACTGCATATTAAAGATCATACGCAGTGACATTAAGGTTGAAGTGTTGCTGTAAGACTAGAGACGACATAATGCGTTGCACACACATTTCACACTCACCAGAAATCTCAGTCTCGCACACAGATACGCACGATTGTGAAAGGAAGCAGTTACGTTGTCAGCAACCTTAACTGTCGTGAAAGAAGGCTCACATAAGCTGTGCTTTCCAAGATTTAGTCTTTTAAAATGAATGTTGAAAACACCCTACAGGGTATCTCAGTAAAACATTCCCTTTTTAGTGGAAAAAGTAGAGGTAAATGACATGCAGAAGTGTAAAGAACTAGATGTTCATGAAACACGAAAAAAATCTTGACTATTATGCAAAATGGTGCATGTTATAGAAGTGGTAAAAATAGGAAAACTAAATCTAGGAGAAACAGTTTAACTATATATATGAGTTGGTGTGTGTACATATACATGCAAATATACACACATATGCACACAAAACATGGTTTAGAGTCCCTCATTAAAAAAAATATTTATTGAGCACCTCTTTTACCAGGCACAGATGTGCAGGTTCACTACTGATTTCCAAGGAAGAATGGCATAGCTAAAAATAAAAACACTCGAAAACTGAGCAGTTGGGATTGAGCTTTTCAAGTTCTCAAGAATGCCTAGCACTTTAAGTAAACATAGGACAAAAGGAAGATATATAGTTCTCTTTATTAGCCAGTGGAAGCTCTTCTGTTCCAAAGACAATTTCTTTACAATTTTTTAAACCCCAAACGGAAAACGTTCCTATTTTAAGAAGCACAATTGCTAAGAAACAAGCAACTGTTACTCAAGTTGTCTTGAGTCTGATTTGATTCAGAGCAAGGGCCGCGCAGACGGGATGCGGCGTCCTACCCAAAATGCTTGAGGAGCACAGAAGTCACCTCCGCAAAGATTCTCTAAGGTGGAGAGTTATGGTGAACAAGAAGCACGTCCAACAGTTCAGAGATGGCAGCAGTACTCCAGAAAACGTCCGCTCCATATTTACCTTAGTGACAACCCTGTAGGTAATGAAAGTCTCAAGTGTAGTGACGTGGCTCTCAGGTTCGTCGACTGTGATGAAGAGATCTTTCAAGTCCGGCTCATCCTCAAACTTGACCTGGTTTATCATCGATAAAGGGGATGTTGGCATCATAGGGCTGAAGGAATTCATGTCCATCAGTGAGGCATCCTGAGGAAGAAAACGGTCCAACATTAACAGCCATAGAAAAAAGTTAAGATCCTCTTTGTCGTAGATGCCACAAGGGTTAATAAAATACGTCAAGAACCACAAGGGTCATTGGCTGCCTGGTTCAAGAGGGTACGTTGAACATGTGTTTGTTTATCTTAGCTTTCTCTCAAGTCCCACAAATGACAGAAAAGAAACAAATAAATAAAAACAAAACAAAAAGGTATAAACCCTCAAGGTAAAAAGAAGAGACTACACAAAGTTTTCTTTTTGGGAACTGGAAATCTGGTAGCTGAAATGTCAGTGTAGAGAAAACTGAAAAGTAAGCCCGGGAGAGAATGGTAAATTAGGAAGAAAAAGGCACGTTTGTGACGGAAAATCCCAGAGAGCCACCAGAAACCGTGGACCTAGAGTGGGGCGAGAGCTCAAACCAGAAGATTGGTTGAAAAGCTAATAAAACTAAAAAAGAGTTAGTGCCTTGGACTCCCTCACTCATCCCACAGGATCAGGTGGCCTTTTGCCTCCATTCTGCAGAAAATTACAACTTTCCTTCGGGGAGCGTCTCTGGAGTGCAGGGCACCAGGCAGGATGGGGGGAAGGAGGCCCTGAGAAAGTACAAACGTCGAGGCCAAGCTCTACGTCGTGGACGGAACAGGGCCCAGCCCCCGCCCCACAGGGCCAAGAATGTTGGCAGGAAGCTGGTGGGAGGTCTCCTCGCCTAGTGACTGTCCCAGGGAACACCTGGCAGCTCGGGGGCCCCTGCCGCCTACCCGAGGCTCTGCGGAGTCCCCCATGGGGAGCCCAGCACTCCCGCTGCGTGTCCCCTCCGCTTCCGCGACCCGGCGGAGGACCCGCCGGACCTCTGAGCACAAGAGAAGCCTCTGATGTGGAAGGTGGACAAACCCACACAAATACAAGGGGAGGACAGGAAAGAGAGAACAGGGCGCTTAAGAAGAGGCGAAATCTCTAGAGGAGGTTGCTGGGCCCTCGGGAGACGCGGGCAGGAAGAGCCTGTGGGTCGCTGGGACAGTGTCCCCTCCCTGCCTGGGACTCTTACACTGTGAGTCTGTAGGAGAGGGCCCCCGTTTTCCAAACACCCAGAGACTGGCCCGGGAGGAGTACAACAGCCGCCTCCAACTTCCTCGGCTTCCACGGAGATGGCGCAGGCTGCGAAAGGGTCCCAAGTGGGCAACCCGGGTTCTTGGAGGGCCTGGCTGGTTTTCGGGCAACCTTTCTCCAAGTTTGAAGTTATTGCCAAAGGGAAAGTATCATTTCCAGTTTTCCAAAGGCAAATCGCCCCACAAGGCTTCAGGTAAAACAGAAACGAACTAAAAATAAGAAAGCAGCCCCTCCGCTCCCGGGCTGCCGTTGCAGAGTCCACGCGCCTCGGAAGCCCAGCCGGAGCCCCGACCGCGTGGCGTGTGTCCCCGTGGCCTTCCTGAGCTCAGGGCAGCCTACGGAGCGCTTGCTTGTCTGCATTTCGATTTGGATATTGTTGCCTACAAAGGAAAATGAAGAGTATTTTTCTGTTTGGTCAATTAATTATGAGCATATAGCCTCACAGGTGCCTAATTCACTCAATGGGCTACAATCTATTAATATCCTAATTTACTCTGATGTTTTAATTGTTCAAATCCTGCCTGGGGGAGCCCCTCAAAGCTGGCACTGGTGAGCTGTTGTTATGTCTTCACTACGTCCTGAGCGCTTGGCTCCCTGGCATAAAAGAGATGTTTCAGGTTTATCTTGTGTTTCCCCTGCCCCAGCCCCGGAATCAGCCATTTCTCCAGGGAGCTCTGGCTCCTTTTGGAGGAGATTGCTATTTAGAAGCCAAGATATCAGTGCTAGGAAGTATATGCATGATCCACGCGCACACACATGCACACACACTCACACACACCTGGGCCTAGGTACGCACAGACAGAAATAGAGATATTAAACACCATGGAGACCAAGGGGCTTACTAGAGCCTGTCCACACCTGTGACTCTTCTTGCCAGCAGAGAGGTCTGGCTTCTCTTGTCTGAATATGTATCCTCATTTGCACAGTCCCCCGCCCCCCGCCGCCCCCAACAATGTGACCAGACGCCCAACCGCACCGCCTGCGCCCTCCGCCCCGACCGCCACGCTGAACCCGCCTCGGTGCCAGCCCCACCGGCCGCTGCCTTAGACACACTGGTCAGCTCCCCAGGCTCCTTCCCTGGTTTGTTTTTAAATAAAGGGAAGGGAAGGGCTACATGTCAGTTTAAAAAATTAAATAAAACAAAAGGGTAACATGCAGTAAATTTTAAACACAAGCAACACCTCATTCATACGCAAAGACACTATCAGTATAACATCTGAGTTATTTCTTCAGTGGTAGGAATGTCTTCTCCAAACCTTTTTGATCCCTTTTTCCCCAAGAGTAGTAATATAGGTTCAAATCAAGTATCTGTCTGTTGTTATAAAAAGACCAAAGATAATTCACTGACACAGAGATAAATTCTGCAACAAAGTCCATCTTAGCTTAGCAAGCGCTGGCCAGCCCTGAGTGAAAAGGCCATTAAAAGGAGTCCAAAACCTGGGTTCTAATCCTGTTGTTGCCACTGACTACATTCAAGGTAACCCCGAACAATTAATTCAGCCCTTCGAGGTGAAATGACGGAGCTGGACTTGACAATCTCCAAAATCTCTCTCACGAGGCTAAAATAAGACAACTGCTTAGTGTATTAATACAGTAAAATGTAGCAAAATTCTGGCATTTTAAAAGCAGGTTGTTTTTTGGAGTACTGTAAATGAAAAAACATCCAAAATCCTAATAGAGGCCCGTTTTCCCCTCGCATCCATTTGAACGCTTTGGAAGCATCAGCTGCATCTAGAGCACCGGTCTCGGGGCGCCTCCCCCACACAAAGTGACATGAAGTTACAGTTCGGTGTTTGGGTAAACCTTCAGGACATCAACATGAGCAGCGTTAGGATAGGGCTCGGCACGCTGGTTGAAGAGACAAGAACAATGGTTGCTTTATTAAGAAGGTTCAGTTTACTTTTATTATAGAAGGATTTGGGAAAGAAAAGAAATAGAACATTTAGGCATGAGTTGGACCAAAAAAAAATTGAAGACCAGTTATGGATGAGTTATTCAGGCAAAAGCACAGAGACAATAAATGTCTTGCAATGAGAGTTTAGTGAAATAAACTATGGCATGGCTCTATGATAGGATGTAGTAAAGTGAGGTTTTAGAAGAATATACAGTAACTTGGAAAAAAGTTCACATTGTGTAATTAAGAGAAAATTGCAGGTTATAAAATTTGTGTACAAGTAGATTCTAATGTGCATCTGTGTGTATGATGCGGAGCCAGAGGGTAGGAGAGTCGAAGGGAAAAAGTGTGTGTACGCACGTGCACGTGAGAGAGAGAGAGAGAGAGAAGGAGAAAGATAAAGCCAGAGAATGGGGGGGGGGGTATGCCTTTGGTGTGGATGAACTTAAAAGTTATCCACAAGAGAAAGTTAAAGTTATTAGTTATTCCAGGTGCTGGGATTGCTGCTGAATTTCATATTTTTCTACATGAGTATTTCCAAATGTTCTAAAATAAACACGTGTTTTGAAAAAACATTAAACCTGTCAGAGTGAACGTTGCACGTCGTGCCCGAGGCAGTGAGAACTGCTGTAGTAGATTAAAAGGGTCGCCGAGGGTCATTTTGGCAGAAGACCTTGGGTGACATTTGATTTTCCCCTTAACTCACCAAAGTGGCAGAGTTCCACGGGAAATTTAAAAATACGTTGGAAGCGCACGAAAATGGGATTGTCAGAAGAAATTATAGGATGCTAAGACAATGGAATACTAAGCAGCCATTAGAAACAGAGTTTCGAGGTTCCAAATAAACGAGCCATCAGCTTGCACAAAGATCTCCCCCAACAACCATCCCCGGGAAGTGGCAGTTTTTCAGGCGGACGACTTTTGACGTGATGGGCAAATGTCCTTCGAAAATCCCCCCGCCCCCAGCCCACGACCACGGCCCTCGCGTTCTATGAAGTCGCCCATTTCGCTCACCACAACCCACTCCTTTCACCTACATAATTTAGCATTCCATTTCTCCTGCTTAAAATGCATCCTTTTGTAGAGTCGGAAAGATCTGCATGAATTTACAAAGGCTCACAATTCCAGTGAGTGTAGTGCGGTGTCATAAAAATATGCTTCCACATCGAGCAAAGGAAGAAAATTACAGGCTGAAATTTAGCAACATCCAAGATTTCAGTAGAAGGATTTAAATTACTATGAATCACTCAAAAACATTCTTAAAACCTCAATAAAACTGACTATCTGAAGTGTTTCATATTCACTTCCAAAAAAAAAAAAAAGGAAAGAAAATATGCTGATAATACTCAGAGGATTTACATTTGGACATGAATAAATGAAGAAAATAAGTGTTTGAGAAGATCCAAAAAGCACTTAACCGAAAAGGAGTCCATTTAACCTTTTGTGGTGGATGCTTTTCAGGAGAAATGGATCATTAAAATTTGTCTTTTCCAAGCCAAAGGCCTCACCTCCACAATGAGGCGTGCTATTTCTCTCCCCCACCCCCCGCCGACACACACCCGCAACGTCATTTACACATGCATTCATTCTCAGCAATTGGACATGTACCCATTATCTTATGAAAATGTATCTTTTCATTGTTTTCTTCAAGAGATTAAACCAAAAGGGCAATTATCTATGTGGTAAATCTCCACGTCTTAAATAACATTGAATACTTTTCCTACAGACAGGAACACACACGCAGAGACACACACACACGCTCACAACAAGGAAGTCTTGGGGTGGTTTTAAGCCGAGATCGGCATCTGTGCAGTAGAGAAGACGCATTGCTGCGGGGAGTCGTAGTCTTTTGTCCCCACTCCAACCCGACACATCCGCTGTAAGAGAAACCGCTCAAGTGACTTTACTGAAGAAGAAACCAAAAAGGCATTGGCATTGGCATTGTATTAGCACGCGACTAAGATTTACTGACAAAGCCCCTTAAACGTGT